CACTACGTGTCTGACCAGGGTCTCCACATGGACGACGCGAAGATCACTGCTATTACGGAGTGGCCCGCTCCCACATCCGCCAAGCAGCTTCGCAGCTTCCTAGGCCTGACCAGCTACTATAGTAACTTCATCCGGGGATACGCTAGGTATTCCTACGTCCTTACCTCCACCCTCCTCCGGAAGAACCCACCCTGGGCTTGGACACCCCTCCACGAGGACGCCTTCCGCGCCCTCAAGAAGGCGGTGATATGCGCACTGGTTCTTCACCTACCCGATTTTGACCGCCCTTTTATCCTTACCACCGATGCGTCAGACTTCGTTGTAGGAGCAGTGTTTTTTCAGGTCTTCCCCTCATCTCCTGATTCCTCTTATCCTCGTATCCCTCGCTTCCCACCACCTACCCCTACCACTGCTTTCCGACTGACGCCTACTCGTCCAGCTACTGACGAGCCTTCTATTGACTATCTCCTATCATCGTCGAGGACGGCACTGTCGAGTCTCGCTCAGGTGATTGTCCGATAGCCTTCTACTCCCGTCAGCTCCTGCCCGCCGAGATAAACTACACTGCTGATGAACGTGAGGTTCTCGCAGTAGTTTATGCCGCTCGGCACTGGCGTCACTACCTGCACGGGGCACCATTCACGGTGCGCACGGACAACTCTGTTGTCCAGGCTTTTCTGACAAAGCCGAAGCTCACTTCTTGACAGGCTCGCTGGTGGCGCAACCTATCCGAGTTTAGTTTCACCACYGAGCACATCAAGGGTGAGACTAATCGGGTTGCCGATGCCCTATCCCGGCGCCCTGACCACGACCAGGAGCACATCCAGCTCTCTTCCATCTCGGTCAGCACCGTTCACCACTCGGTGATCGACGAGTTTCGCACTCAGTACCGCCACTGCCCCGACTATCGCGACATCCACGCGACCCTTGGAAGTGGCAAGACCGTCCCGAACTACTCTCTCGGGGACAACGGTCTTGTGTACTGGCACGGTTCACAGTGCACCAGAGAGCCCCGTATTTGTGTTCCCTCCACTGGACAACTACGTGTCCGACCAGTAGCAGAGTTCCATGACCAAGCATCTGCCGGTCATATGGGTTTCCACAAGACGTTGGCTCGTGTGAGCCGCCTGTACGTCTGGCCGAAGCGCAAGGACTTTGTGAAGGACTACGTCGCAGAGTGTCCGACCTGTCAGGAGGTGAACAGTGCAAACCACCTACCTTATGGTTTGCTCCAGCCTCTTCCTATCCCTGAGGGTCGTTGGCAGTCTATCTCGATGGACTTTATCGGTCCTCTTCGACCTCCGACCCCCCGCGGTCATGATGCTATCCTGGTCGTCGTCGACCGCTTCACGAAGCGTGCACGATTTGTGCCCTGCTGCTATGCCATCAGTGCACGTGAGGTCGCCGACATCGTATTTAACCGAGTCGTGCGTGACCACGGCTTACCTCTAAGCATCATATCTGACCGTGACCCGCGCTTTACCAGCCGATTCTGGAGACGACTCCACGAGGTGTACGGCACTCAGCTCCGCTTCTCCTCGTCTTACCATTCTCAGACTGATGGTCAGACCGAGATCACGAACAGGACTTTCGGAGATATTCTCCGAAAGATTGTTCGTGACGACCAGCAGTGGGATCTCCATCTTGCCCACGCGGAGATAGCCTACAACCACGCCGTCTCGCTAGCCACGGGGATGTCGCCTTACTATTGCGACCTCGGCTATCACCCGCGTGTTCCCGCGGACTTCCTTCGACCGTCCCAGATGCATCCGACACGAGTTGTCCCGCCCTGGATGATTGGGTTGCACACATGACGTCGAATATGAAGACCGCACATGAGCACATAGCCGCTTCCCAGACTCGCATGGCAGCACATGCGAACCGATCGAGGATGGATCACCCATTCAAGGTCGGTGATGATGTGCTTATCGATGCCCGCCACTTACAGCTCGAAGCGGACACGCTTCGCAAGTTTCGACGTCGCTTCTTTGGCCCATGCCGCATCCTCCAGGCCGTCGGTTCTGATACGGCATCTAGCCCGGTCAGCTTTCGTGTGAAGCTGCCCGACTACCTACGCCAGGCTCGTGTACATGATGTCTACCACGTCTCGTTACTGCGTCCTTACCGCAGACCGTCTGAGCGTTTCGCTGGACGACCATACGAGCGCCCTCCACCCATCATGGTGGACGGCCACGAGGAGTTCCTCGTTTCAGACATCATTGGTCGCCGAGTCACCGACGACAACCCTCCCCACGTCGAGTATCTCGTACGTTGGAAGGGTTACCCTGATGAGGAGGCTACCTGGGAGCCCCTCGAGCACTTGCGGGACGCTCGCATGTTGGTGCGTGCCTATGACCGTGCTCGTCGTGCTGGGTTCACTGCTCCTCCTCAGCCCACTGACCCTCCTCCTTCTCCTCCGGCTGAGGAGACCGCTGAAGTCGAGCCTGCTCCATCTGAGGCAGACCTTCAGCAGCAGCCGGATGCTTCTGAGCGTCTACAGCGCACTCGTCGTCGTCCTGCTCGATACGACGATTGACTCTGACTTACCTTCCCACGTCTTTGACTTCTCAGTACTCCATCCACATTAGTTTTGCTACTTCAGCTCGTCGACGCTGCGGCTCTTCCTCAACGGCATTCCGGACTTCTCATCGTGGACGTCATCGGCAGCTTCATGGACTTCATCACGATCAGCTCTGCCTACTTCAGACGTCGTCACTCTGTTACCACTCCACCCTGTATAGTACCCTGCTTGTGTCGCATGATGGTCTCCCTTTAGCCGGGTTCCTCTGAGTTGGGATCTCCCTTGGTATACGCATAGGCATCGGGACCGTAGCGTTGCCCTGGATTCCCATCTTACGGATCTAGCTCCGACCTCCCTCACTTTAGGAGTCATTTGCATGATTCCCTTACCCATCATCTTTCTACCCTTCGTCGGCCCTCACGCCCTAGTTAGGCAGCCCCGCATGCTTCATCTAGGTGCGCCCAGTATACCAGGCTCCCTTGTTCCCTTGCATGGTCGACCCTCCATAGCAGTCACCCCTTAGTCAAGCATTACCCGCCCTGATGGTCTATCTGTTAGGGTCATTGGTTCTGTTCGCTCCCAGTTCCCTACCCTCATTGAGCTTGACGACATATGTTTTCCCCTGTCACTATGTGTGGATGCCCTTAGGAGTTTTCAACCCCTAGGATGCATTCGCCACCCTCAGAGACCATCCCACCCTTTGGTGTGCGACACACTTCTCATGTGA